TCAAATGACAGATGCTTTGGCTACTCTGACAGCAGCCTTTAAGATGAATGTGCATGCAAATATGATACCTATTGAGATGAAGGCTTATGATTATCCAGCCCCACTGCTTTAACGTTGAAGAAAAGGAAGATGGGAGACTCAATACTATGATATCTTACAATATATAAGGTATCAAAGTTATCCCAAACAGGCGACCGAGAATGACAAAAGAGCCATTAGAAGAATGACAGCAGGGTATGTGTTCAATGTTGAGACCCCGAAGAAGCATGGATCAGATCCTATTAAGGTGTGTGGACTCTAAAGAAGCTAAATCATTCTTGAAGAAATTCATGAAGGAGTATGTGGTACCCACGCTAATGAATTTATGGAGATAGAATGCACACCCCTCCTCATCAGTTGCATATACTGACAATTCTGTGGTCGTTGGCTATGTGGGGCATGGATGATGGACTCTGACAATGCCTTGAACTTAAACAACAAGATGATGGACTATGTCTGTGAGCAATTCAAGATAAAGCATCATAATTCCACTATCTATCGCCTAAAGATGATTGGGCAGTGGAGGCGGCTAATATGAACATTAAGAGGCTTATAGAGAAGATGACTGAAACTTATAAAGATTGGCATGAGAAGTTGCCATTTGCTCTGTTTTCCTATCGGACTTCTGTACGGACGTCAACTGGGGCAACTCCGTTTTTTCTCTAGTTTATGGGATGGAAGCTGTCCTCCCTATTTGAAGTGGAAACTCCCTCACTTCGGGTTTTGTCAGAAGTGAAGCTAAATGAGGCAGAGTGGGTACAGGCCAGTTATGACCAATTGGATTTGATTGAAGAAAAGAGATTGAAAGCTATTTGCCATGGTCAGATGTACCAGAAGCGGATGATACGAGCACATGGTAAGAAAGTTCACCCTCAAGAAGTCCACGAAAGGGATCTGATGCTCAGGAGAATATTGCTCGTTCCAAAAGATTTCCGAGGGAATTGGATGCCCAAGTGGAAAATACCTATGTTGTCAAGAAAACCTTTTGGGGAGCTCTAGTCTTGATTGAGATGGATGAGTTCAATTACCTTATTCAGTGAACTCCGAACGCAGCTAAGAAGGGTTTTGCTTGAAGATGAAAAAAAGAAAAAAAAATGAAAAATGAAAAAATATAAAAAATGAAAAAAATGAAAAAAATAAATGAAAAAATAAATGAAAAAAATGAAAAAATAAATAAAACAAAAACAAATAAAAGGGGGGTTCAAGATGCAAACTTGAAAAAGATATCTTGAAACCAAAGGAGGTCAAGTTGAAAACCCGTAGAGGCGGCTTAAGTTTTAAATTCAGAATTCATGCACGGTGGAGGTTCTGAATTATTTTTGGAAGAGGAAAGAGCTTATGACGTGAGTAGTAACAACGACAGTTGGTGATCAGGATTGAGACTAAAGATTAATGAGTCTCTATGAAAGCAACCAAAGGAGAAATTGAATGCACATGAGATTCAATACTAGTTTACGGCATCTAATAATGGGAGATTTTGGGGTTCAAAAGTAGCTTTGCACTCTTAGGTGTCATCACAATTTTGGAGTTCCTTTTGATCGAAGCTACGCTCGGGTTTCTAATGGCGTGCCAGTTCAAAGGCATTTGTGTTATTGATATTTGAATACGCCTATCCTTTGTTCTTTTTCCAGTTAAAAGTTTTCCATATAGTTGCTAAAAATTCTTTGCATTTATAAATAAGTATATTTTTCCTTTTCAATTCCCCTTTACAAGCATTTGATTTTGAAAAAGTTAAAACATAGCTTAGCTTGTGGTACATGAGATCATTTTGTATTGTTATGCAAAAGATGTTGAAAAGACAGGTATTCTGAAGCTAACATTGGTTTTAGCATGTATGTTTGTATGGTTATGGGAAGCAGAAACCTTGGGATTCATAGAAAATTCTAGCCATTAATAGTTGGCCCAAAGAGAATGTCATTCATCAAGAAGTTGGTCATGGGTAATGGCAGGCTTCAAGAATGAGAGAAGTCAAAGTTATGTCAAGCCGAGAGATATGATTTTGAGATTGTTAACTGGGGTGAACAGGTCAAATGTTCGGTGCCCAAGACGAAATCGAGGTCCATCAAATCAAGGAGACGATGTTCCTTCGAAGAAGAAATGTGTTGAATTGAATAATTGCATACATTTAGGCATGAATAGGATCATGACATTGCATGATGACTTAAATGTCTACAGGTTTCCCCATGATAGTGGAGGATTGAATATTGAAGCATCAAGATGAGGATGACTAGTTTTGAAATCCTAAAAAGAATGATGACAACAATTGAGCCAAAGTAGATTCACATATCTAAGGGCTTCCAGACAAGTTTTCATGATGAAGATGAATTTTCAGAAAATTTCTCGAACTCAGAATTTTTGAGTTGGATATTTTCGAGCATACATTAATGATTGATGTTTGATTTTCAGGTTCAACCTTCGAAGCGAATCAAACTCAAGCCTTCACAAAAGAGTAGTGAAGTAAATCTCTATAAGCCTTCACAAGGAGGTAGTGAAGCAACATAAGATTGTTCGAGTTCTACTCCCTAAAGAAAATAGGGCGGACCCGTAGGAAGATTATTGTTCGAGTTCTACTCCCTGAAGAAATAGGGTGGACCCGTAAGAAGATTATTGTTCGAGTTCTTACTCCCTGAAGAAATAGAGAGCGATCCCGTAGGAAGATTATTGTTCGAGTTTTACTCCCTGAAGAAAAAGAGAGCGGGCCCGTAGGAAGATTATTGTTCGAGTTCTTACTCCCTGAAGAAAAAGAGAGCGAACCCGTAGGAAGATTATTGTTCAAGTTCTACTCCCTGAAGAAATAGAGAGCGGACCCGTAGGAAGATTATTGTTCGAGTTCTTACTCCCTGAAGAAAAAGAGAATGGACCCGTAGGAAGATTATTGTTCGAGTTCTACTCCCTGAAGAAATAGAGAGCGGACCCGTAGGAAGATTATTGTTCGAGTTCTTACTCCCTGAAGAAAAAGAGAGCGGACCCGTAGGAAGATTATTGTTCGAGTTCTTACTCCCTGAAGAAAAAAGAGCGGACTCGTATGAAGATTATTGTTCGAGTTCTACTCCCTGAAGAAATAGAGAGCGGACCCGTAGGAAGATTTTGTTCGAGTTCTTACTCCCTGAAGAAAAAGAGAGCAGACCCGTAGAAAGATTATTGTTCGAGTTCTACTCCCTGAAGAAATAGAGAGCGGACCCGTAGGAAGATTATTGTTTGAGTTCTTACTCCCTGAAGAAAAAGAGAGCGGACCCGTAGGAAGATTATTGTTTGAGTTCTACTCCATGAATAAATAGATAGCGGACCCGTAGGAAGATTATTGTTCTAGTTCTACTCCCTGAAGAAAGAGAGAGCGGACCCGTAGGAAGATGATTGTTCGAGTTCTACTCCTTGAAGGAAGAGAGAGAAGACCCGTAGGAAGATGATTGTTCGAGTTCTACTCCCTGAAGAAAAGAGAGAGCGAGCCCTTAGGAAGAAGAATGTTCGAGTTCTACTCCCTGAAGAAAGAGGAAGTGAACTCGTTGGCCAAAGATTTTTCAAATCTCACTTACCGTGAAGGAAGATTGGAGCAGATCCCTTCCCAAGTTCCCAATCGAGGAAGAAATTAGACAAAAACGCGCTGTCGTTTTTTATCTTTACCCTATTCTTGTTAACACAAGAATGCGCAAAGAGGGGCAGCTGTAGACACTCGTTTTGTCCAGGGTTCTCATTCGAGTTTTTACTCCAGTTTATTTATATACTACTAATTAGTATCATTACCATGTTTTGCATGTGTTTATCCATTTAGGTTGTTTTTAGTTTATTACCATGTATGTTTAATTATGTAGGGTGTTTAATAAATATACATATATATATATCTATGATATGTTTAATAAAATTGCACTAAATAAACGTTTTTATGATTACAGACCCAAATGAAAAAACAGATTACAACAGGCTTGAACCAAGCCCGAACTCAACAGCCCAGAATTCAAGCCCAATAAAAAAAGACTAAAAGAGCAGCCCAATATTGTAGCCCGTTGAGGAAACCCTAGACCAATTAGGGTTCCTTATCACCAACTTCCATGCGTCGCTGAGCCTCCTCCGTTGGATCTGGTTTCACGATCCAACGGTCTCTAGATGTCCGTGATCCCGAGCCAGCTACAACTCACGTGAAACCACAACCCTGCTGCCAGATCACACACGCCCAACCGGACAACAGCTCAGCCCCCACTGCTACCGCCCTGCTCTCGCTCCAGAGCCCCTGTAAACACACCAAACGAGAGCAAAAACAGAAAAGAACAAAACTAGAAAGAAATCTATCAATTAGAAATAACGAAAGAAAAGAAGGAGAAAGAAAACTCTCAGTCATCAGCAACAGGGAAGAACAGAAAATAGAAAGAAAACAGAAATCAACCAGAAATCAACAGGAAGAAAAACCATTTCAAAAAAACCTTAGATATCCACTTTCAATCCATCAGTAACCAAAAAAGGGACGAGAGCGAAGAAACTCACCTTTAAGTACTCACTGCCATTGTTAAGAGTCCAAAACCCGCTGTAAGAAGGTAAAACCCTTCACCTTCTATTGTTTCCCAGCCATGCATGACCGTTTTGGGTCTCGGGTTCAGGGGTTTTGTTGGGTTATGGGTAGGACCGTCTAGGTGGGGTTTGGGTGATGGTTTGACTTCTCATCGGAGTCCTCTAGGGAGGGGAAAGGTCACGGTGGTCGTGGTTTTGTAAGAGTATTAGAGGGTAAAGCCGGCTGAGAGGTTCTGTTAGGGGGGTTTTCGGTAAGTCTGGTGTTAGTCTCGTGATGGGGTTGAAGTTTTCTGGTGGGGGTTAGTCTCGGTCTTAGACGGTGGCCGTGGAGATCTTTGGGTTTTCAGACGGTGGTGGCTTTGGTTTTTAGGGTTGCTGAGAGAGTTTGAGAAGAGTAGTGAGGGGTTATCTAGTTTAGGCTTGTTTTGGGTTGACCAGTTGGTCTAGGTGGTTATCGGGTAATGGGGCCACCGAGGACTGGTGGCCAGCCGGTGGCGTTGAGTGGTGAGGGCGAAGTCTCGTTGAACTAGGTGAAGAAGCGAGAGAGAGAGAGGATGGGAGAAAACGGATGAAGCCTTTGGGGGAAAGGATTAGAAATGAATTAGGGTTAGAGATCTCACCCTAGTATCCCATATATTCGTACGCCAAAACGCGTCGTTCTAGAGGGTCAAACGGCAGTGTGTGTTGTTGTATGGGGGAGATGAACGGGTTTTAGGATATTGGGCCATTAGCTTATTTGGTCCTGTTATCTTCGTTTCATTCCAGTTTGGTCCTTGAGCCGAGCTTTGCTGCAATTTTAATTTTGTATCTTAATTTTCAGCGCATTTCATTTTAGTCCAGTTATATGTTTTGGTTATTTTCACGCAAATTTGACATTGGATGTATAATTTGAAAAACTTTCATTTCGGTCCTGGTTTGTTGTTATATTTAATTTTGAATGTGATTTGTAATTTTAATTATTTGGCAATTTAATCCTATGGCATGTCGTTTAGTTTACTGTTAGGTTTACATTTTGCATGCCTAGCTTTATTTTTTATTTTATTTCGGTCCTTCATGGCAATTTTAAATATGGATTGAGTTATTATATTACGTTTAATTTTATACGGTTTTACTTCAATGCATGTTTATTTTGTTGTATGTATGTGTAGTATAAGTGTACCTTAGCATAGGTAATATTCTAATGAATAAACATTATTTAGTCATAATTTATTTATGAAGCCCCTATACTTGTAAATATGAATGTGGTAGGTTTAATAATGTCAAAATATTAAGATATCAAAAATTCCTTTGTAAAATAGATAATTAAATGCATGTGAATGTATTATTTTAGACTCAGATGTTTGCTCGAATGTGTGGCATTATCTAATTAGTTTTTGCATGATATCCTCATTTGCATGACTCAACTTGATCACATAATTGGATTAAGGGTAATACTCTTTTAATTTAAAACTGTCAAAATGGCTTTTCTTAACTTACAGAAAAGTTATTCTTGATGATTTTAAATTACAAGGGTATCCCGACATTGTCACTAAAAATTGATATTTCACTTTAAAATTTGGGCATGAAGGAAAAGATATGTCTATTTAAATTCGTTGAGAAAAGGTCGTTAGAACTGACCTAAAGATATGGTCTCAACATTTTTAAATAATCGAATATTCTTTATCTTTCTAATGGTTTGGTAATTTTAATTTAACCTATTCATTTGCTTTTTGAATGTTAAAATGCACTTTTGTTGTTTTAAGGGATCAAAAATTAAATTAATTTCGAACTTGTAAAATTCGTTGCAAAGATATTAATTAATTGACTAGGTATCGATTTAGGGCGTTGTGGGGGTGCTAATCCTAGCATTATTTCTTTCCCATTGCAATTTGGTTTGCAAATGGTGAGGTGTGTTTCACTAATATAATATCACCGGAAGATGATAGTGTAGGTAGGGATGGACTTAGGGGACAACCGAGGTAGTTGTCATCTTTAAAAGTTTTAAATTATCAAATATTTTAGATTTTTTTATGTATTTTTTTATAATATGTTTCTTCCATCTAAAATTTAATAAGTTAGTATCTCCTAAAATTTCAGAAGTTCTCCTCTAGCATTATTCCTTTCCCATTTCACTTTGGTTTGAAAATGTGGTGTGTTTCACTAATATAATCTCATCGGAAGATGATTGTGTAGGTAGGGATGGACCCAGGCGACAATCGGGGTAGTTTTTATTTTTAAAAATTTTAAATTAACATATATTTTAGATATTCTTTTATGTATTTTGTATTAATAGTATGTTTCGTCCCTCTATAATTTTATAAGTTAGCCTCTCCTAAAATTTTAGATGTACATATATATCTATATATATATATATATATATATCTTTATGTTTTTTATATGCTATATATATATAATGTTGAGTTGAGGACTTGACTCAAACTTGAAAATCAATTCACTAATTATTAAAAAAAAATAAGTTATTCGAGTTTTATTTTATAAGCAACTCGAAATTGAAATTACGAGTTGAATCAAGTCGAATTTATGAAATTACGAGTCAAATTAAATATTTTAATATTGAATTAATTTGAAAAAATCAATTTTTTGGATCAAGATGAATTTTATTATCCATAAATAGTGTATAGGAGAAAACTCGCTGGAGTTAATTACTGCGTTTTAACCATATCAACCCACACGTACAATAATCTATTTTACAAACACCGCAACACATGAGCAAAAACATTAAATTAAGCCCGTAAACGAACCGAACACACACGAATGGAAGTATGTTTATGTTCGTTCATTTAATAAATAAACGAACACGAACATAAATGAACAATTTCTTTTTTATGTTCGTTCATTAAGGAATATAACTTGTTCATTTTCGTTCATTTAAATGATAAACGAACATAAACGAACAACACAAACAAAAAAAACAAACTTATTCGAGCACAACAAATGAATGTAAAAAAAGTAAACAACAAGAATAACAACTTAAAATTCATTAATATAACCTGCAACTTTAGAGTTAATTTGTTCGAATACAAAAAAAACATACATAAATCATAAATAAGTTATATGAACATAATAAAGTCTTAAAGTTAATTTGTTCAACAAAACAATCTTCTTAAAATCCAAACAAATTCAATAATCTCCGTAACATATTCAACTTGCCCTCTGTTTGAACATAAATGAACGAACATAAATGAACGAACATAAACGAACATATAATCGAACGTTCACGAACGTAAATGAACGAACAGACCCTTTGTTCGTGTTTGTTCATTTAATTAAACGAACGCAAAATCTTGTTCATGTTCGTTCATTTAATAAATAAACGAACTTCTCGCCGCACGATTCATGAACGGTTCGTTAAATGTTCAGCTCATTTACAGGCCTACATAAAATATATCAAAATAACTTCTAAATTTCAACCCTATTAACTTCTGGTGTTGAAATTTTTTTCTATCCAAATTAGGTTCTTAACATTATCTCATATTCAATTTCACTTCAATTGTCAGCTCTGTCACAAAAGATTACGTATCATTAGCAAGACAAAACTAAATTTTTTTTTTTTTTTAAATATTTAAATTTTTTTAAAGTATAATTTTTGAATATAACTTTTATTTGTGCATAAATGTATTTGGGAAATATTGCTTATGGGATATTAATTTAAGGGTAAATTACAAATTTGATAACTGAACTTTCATGTAATTTCTATTTACCTACCGTACTTTCAAATTTTCAATTTGTTCACTCACTTTTAATTGATCATGTTTTTGTCACTCAACCGTTAAAAAGCTAATGGTGTTATGACATGACAACCTATACAAAAACGACATCGTTTTATATCCTACAAAAAAAATAAGAGTAAATTATAAATTTGATAACTGAACTTTCATATAATTCTTAGTTCACTCACTGTACTTTCAAAATTTTCAATTTGCTCATTAACTTTATAGATTGAGTTTTTGGGTCACTATGTTGGGGTTAGACGAAAGGACAGCTGAAGGAGGTAGCGACAGTGAAAGGGAAAATTGAATGGGTTTTGGTCGGAAGAGGAGAAGACTTCAACGGTAGTGGTAGTGAGACGAATGGACGACCAGGGTGTCCGAAATCGATGGAAAGCTTTGGTTTCCCGACGACGGTTTCTCTACGACAAATGGTGAGCATCCTTGACGATCGACCACCATGGTTTTGATCGTGGTGGCTTGATACATACACCAGTACTGGAGGTGACGGTCACCGTCTAACGATGATTGGGATCAACTGCAAGACATCGAATGATTTCTTATTATTTTACAATGAACGATGAGCTTTCATCAACGGTGAAGGGTAGGGCTTCGATCGGGAGGCAACATCGATGCTGTTGGAGTTGGATGTGCGAGCCATCACTGGCCAGAGATGGGTTCGGCGATGAGGAATAGTAACGATCGTTGACAATGAGAAGTTTAATGGTAGAGTGAGCAAAATTGAAGTTTTTGAAAGTATTGTGAGTAAAATAGGGATCATATGAAAGTTTAGTTATCACATTGTAATTTACCCTGTGCGACGTTATAGCATACGTGTCTTTTAACGATTAAAAACTATTTCTCTAAGCCACATCATAACAGCATGAGAAGTTTAACGATAGAGTGACAAAAAAAATTTAATTTATAATGTTGAGTGAGAAAATTGAAAATTTTAAAAACACGGTGAGTAAAATAGGGATCATATGAAAAATTTTGGAGCTTGTCCATGGGCAAAAAAATATCAAATAATGCATCTGAAAAAAAAAACCGTGAAATAATTTGCACACAAACTTATTTACTTGAATAGGGTGAAAGCAAGTTCGAAGTTGTATCCTACTCCGTGTGAAAGAAGTGTAACACTAAAAAAGCAATGCGTCTCCCCATGAATGCTTATTTCTAATTTTATAGTACGTGTGACTCTATACACGTGATATAACAATATTGCTATCTGGAACGCTATGCTAAACACCGAGTTAATCACATGTATCAAAAAAGCTGCCCCACAACCAAGGTCGATGCAATTATGGCTCTTGCATTCGCAACAATAGGCAACCATGTATAAGACCTGGCTTCTCATTCCTTAAACACTCAAAACTCATTTGTAAACTTTGACTAGCAATGCGTCTTCGACGAGGCTGAGGCGATAAGATAGGAGCGCCATGCGTCTCCTCCACTCAAGGTTGAATACGCATTGTCTTCATGACGTCACCCAATGAGTCGCGTTCCAACTGCAGCATTCCCCATTCAGGTAAATAATATAGAATCAATTTTGTTTCAAAAAAAAAAAAAAAAACTCAACATTATTTAAAAATTTTTGCCCTTCTCCATGCGTTCCAATATGTCGACACCGTTTCTCGCTCGGGGCGGGGAAAGACCGATACCGACTTGGGGGTTTTCTTTTGAAAAGAAATTCGAAATGTGAGGAGTCGCCACCAATAATTTAAGGTGCGATTGAGATACATAAAAAACCGGATGATTTTAATAAAACATTTTATTTTTATCAAAATATTGAGTTTTAGGGTTCACAAAAATCCATAAATCAAGTTCAGGAGTTAGTTACGCGTGGGGAAGGATTAGCACCCCCACAAGCGCCCAAAAATGGGTACCTAGTTGATTACCCTATAATTAAAATCAGAAATTTTGAGTTCGATCTTTTTTTTACAGATGCAAAGTTAAAAAGGGTGTTCGAATATTAAGGTCGATAACATTCGCCCCTAGCATAAATGCGGGAGATCAACTATTGTGCCAATAATCGGACATTGCCTTAATTTCAGAAAATCATGATGCAGTTTTGAAAAAGATGTCGACCTATTTCGAGATTCACCAGCAGTCACTCCCTGAGCATACTTGCGAGAGATATACCATTATTTCCTAATAAGTGAACTTGCCTTGGGTTTTAAAAAATGCAGTCAAACAATTTATTCATCCTAATTAAACTAAGGGAAAATTAAGGTTTTTCTAGCTTAAAGTGTCGAGTTATGAAAATTAAAGAACCTAAAGGCACAAATCTAGAAATGTAGGTTCTAATACTAACCCTATTTGATTTTTAAACCAATTATTGAATCGAACAACCGAGATGGTCCCTCGAGCATTTATGTGAGGGCCGACTCGAATTATTCCCTAAATTAAGGGACTAAGTTTGAAATTAAGCAAAAAATGAAGGCTCTAAAATATTAACCTATTCAATTATGTCAATCTTAAAGTCTAATATAAGTTCGGGGACTAAAAGGTCAAAGATCTAAAATATCGAGTTCTAAAAGACTAAAAGTTTAAGGGCCTAAATAAAAAATTTCTAAAGTTAAGGACTAATTAATAACCAAATCGTAAATGTTATCTAAATTAATATATTAAAAAGGACTAAGCCTAAAGTGTTTTTTTATTATTGATAATTAATAAATTTTAAAAAGTTGAGCAATCGATTCGAGTAATTGGGCATTTTATGCGAAAATTCGACTCGAATTGCTTCTTAATTAAAATTAGGGTACCATCCTAATTTCTAGGTCCGATTTGATTTATTAGCCTAATCTAAGAACAAAATCTAAAAAAACTAATTACCAAAAACTAAGAAATACTAGCTATAATAAACACGATTAAATATATTAAATAAACTAGCACACCTCAAAGAAAAAAAAAAAGATTAATCATATAATTACAAATTACAAGATTAAGGAAATAAATTAAACGTAACAAGGGCTAAATTAAAACAAATCAAAATTTAATGGTTAAATCTAAACAAAATAAAAAAATAGTTTTAGGGATTAAAATGCAAAACAAACAGAAGTTATAAGGACCTAAAGCTAATTATACACTTTACTTAAGAAAAATAATATGTTAAACTAAAAAGGGAAAATACAAAACCAGTCCACAAAAATTAAAATAAAACTAAAAGGTCATTAAACAGGACAAAAATGTAAAAATATGCCTAACTTACAGGGACCAAACAATACTTTTACCAAAAAATATAACACGCATAAAATGGGAAAATCACAAAAACAACCCCTACAGTTGACTAACATGAAAAACACACATAAAGTAGGGGGACTAAACATTAATTAAACCAAATATTACAAAGCATAAACATAAATGGGTAAATTATGAAACATGTCCTTGTAAGTGGCTATTTTGTAAAAGCACGGGTAAGTTAGGGGGACCTAAGTGCAATTTCCCCTAACTTGTTTTTATAAACACTAACCTTTGATTTTTTCATTTGAAAAAAACAGAAATGCTTTCCCCTTCTCTCGACCGATCCACTGTCGGCTGATCTTGAACTCCTCCGGCCACCGTCCAAATAAAAAAAAACTGAAAAACGTAGATCTACGCACCTAGGACCTAACCTTGGGCTTAAAACCACCTAAAAAAACCTAAACTACCCAAAACCACCTAAACTCTTCGGCTACCCCAAACTCCGACGACACCTCTGACGACCCCAATAAGCTAGATATGTTATTCCTCTTTTAGCATTTTTACTATAAAAATTGTTAATAGTTTTTTATTAAATGTTTTTTGTTATTCGAGATGATTAGTGTTTTTGAAACAAAACTTAAAAAAAGGGTTATGGTTTTATTTCAAAATCCAAAAAGAGTCCTTTTTTATACATATTTGCATGGGTTCGAAACTATGAACACATAAAAAAGAACTATTCGAAAGCTATTGAAAATCTGGTTGTTATTACTTTGAAAAACAGGTTACAGTGTGTTTTCTTTTCCCAGAATCCAGAGAGTTTTATAGTGTTAATGCATGGCTCTTTATACCCATTACAAAGCAATTACAAAATGATTCCTATTTTGTTTATTCTTTGTTGTATTTGCAGGGGCCGCGTGAAGCTTGACGTGCATGGGTGGCTCTCTTTCGGTTGGGACAGAGAGAGGCAACAACTGATAGGGGCTGGGGGCAGCTACCCTAGGGTTTAGTTTAGACCCTAGGGTTTAGTTTAGACTCCGTCGGATTTTGGTTGGGTTTTGGGTTGGGTTATAGGTTGGGTTTGGGTGTGGTTTATTTTTGGTTTTATTTTGCAATGGGTTTTGGGGTTTATTTGGGTTTTTGAGTTCTGGTTGGGTTTGGGCTTGAGGCGCGGTTGTAAATGTGTTTGGGCATTGGTTTTTTGGTTTGTAAATAATAGTATTTATAATAATAATAATAATAAAATAATGATGATATAGGGGTAGATTTGAAAAACGGTGATTATACAATAGATTAAATAATAAATATATTTTTTAAAACTCATCCACATAACAAAATTCAATAAAGTTATTTTCTTGGGAAACTCTTTAAGAGAGAATGACTATCAACCCCCTAGACCCGACCCATACATTATGCCCAAATCTTGACGGTCACATGTTGTATTCAAAAATTCTTTCCATATTCAAAACATAGTCGAAATCTAAGAGAATAAAATATATATAACGGTAAAAATACGAAAATATCCAACAATAAGGTTCATATGGCAAACATATACATATACTGACATCGGAACATCGTATAAAACATGCCCAAAAACAAAATACTGGTAATACAAATACATATAGTAGTAAAAAAATCGTGTCACCAAAATATAACAAAACTGACATATAGAAATATACAGTGGGTATAAAAAGAAGAACGATCGATGCTCCTGATGCCAAGTCTGCTACCCTACTTTCTGGTAAAATCTAAAAAGTTAAAAATTAAAGAGTGAGCTAGAAAGCCCATTGTTCTCTTTGTGATGTATAAAAACATTTAGATAAATACTTTGGTAAAAACATCGTTCAAGCTTTGAGAAGAAGGAATGTTATCAATTTTGGTGACAGTGAACAACCAAAGGTATCCCAAAATCCATTGCCAAACCATGCTGGAGCCGGGATTAACGCAGTCGCTGAAGAGAAAGGAAAGAGGATTGTTATGGATGTTAGTGAGGTGGAATCACCCATGCTTTGGGTATGGTGCCAAATGGTTAAAGTGGGATTATTGAAGCCTAGTCTATCATGTGACCAGTATAGCAGTGAAGAGGTGTGCCACTACCATAATTGCGCAGGACACAATATACAACAGTGTCGTGATTTCTTAAAATTGGTACAAGGGATGATGGACAAGAAAGAAATCGAATTCTTCAAAGAAGTGACTAAAAAAGAAAAAGCAGAGATTTGCGCTTCTGAAGGATCATCCAAAGGGATACACAGTGTTGGTTGTCCCATCGTCATTACTCCTAAGAATCAAGTGAATGAAAGGGTAGCTCCTTCAACTCCGTTCCCATACAAAGATAATAAACAAGTGCCCTGGAGGTATGATTGTCAAATGAGAGAGGGGGCAAAACAACAAGAAGAAATAAATGAAGTAGGGCACTTGACCAGAAGTGGTAGGTTCTTTTTCAAAGAGCTAGAGAAGAAGATTGCTGCTGAAAAAGGAAAGAATGTCGATGTTCAGATAAAAGAAGACGAACTCATTATCAATGAACTGGGGTCGAAGGATGAAACAGTGGAATTCTTAAAATTTTTGAAACATAGTGAGTTCGGTGTTGTGGAACAATTGCACAAGCTGCCTGCCAGTATTTCTTTCCTATCACTTCTTTTGAGTTCAGAGGCTCATCGCAACGTCTTGATAAAAGTTTTGGACCAGACCTTTGTCTCGAAGGAGTTACCCACAGAAAAGCTGGAGCGACTAGTTGCCAAAATGCAGGCTGATAACATTCTATCTTTTTCAAAGGATGAGATCCCTTCGGGGATGATTGACAATCATAAGGCTCTACACATTACAGTTAGGTACAAAGGGCACGTTTTATCCAGAGTACTTATAAGCGATGGTTCAGCGTTAAATGTAATCCCCTTGGTGACTCTAAAAAAGCTGCCAGTGGACAGTACCCTGAAGAGGAATTGTCAAAGTATGGTTCGATCTTTTGATGGAACAGAAAGAGAAGTGTTAGGCAAGATTGATATTCCTTTGACTATTGGTCCAGCGACATTTGAAGTGGAGTTTCTTGTGATGGACATCAAGCCTACATACAACTGCTTATTGGGAAGACACTGGATTCATCAGGCTGGGGCAGTTTCATCAACTTTACACCAGAGGCTAAAGTTCGTATTTGATGGAAGGTTGGTATGCATTCATGCGGAAGAAGACATTATTGCTTCAGTTCCTGCAGCCCCATATGTTGAAGTGGAAGAATAAGCTATTGAATGTCCTTTTAGATCGTTTGACAATGCCACGTTTGTGGCCGAAGGCAAGAAAATCTCAGAGCCTAGATCGTCATACTGCATCAAAACGGGGCACAAACTGACCCTTGGAAGAGGGACCAAAGGTAGCCAAAGGCTAGGACGTCAGTTGTAAGGACCAGTTGGGCCAAATTACCCTATTGCTAAAAGAGACAGGTTTGGTTTAGGGTATCAACAAACTTTGAAGGAAAAATAGAAGGGCATCAAGAGGAATCGGGAATTGAGAGAGGCAAGATTGACTGGTGAAGACCCAAGTTGGGGACCCATGACCTTCCCGCCATTGAGCAGCATTTTCACATCAGCAGGGCATGTGTTTCAAAGGACTTCAAGAAGTGGTAAAGTGATGATTGAGAATGCCTTGGAGGATTTTGGCATTAATGTTGTAACCAATGAGGAGTTTGAAGGAATGAGAGCTACAGGTGTCTATCCTGTACCCCCAGGCTTTGTGTTGAACAACTGGACTATGGAGGAATCGCCCTTAGTTTACAAATCTTTTGCATAGTAGTGCACTAGAACTTTTCCCTATTGTTCGTACCCTGGGGCAATAGGGGATCTAATGTAAAGGGTTAAGCTGTGTGTTTTTACTTGCTTTCAATAAAGGATGCATTTCATTAGTCCAAAATGGCAAACACTCTCCCATGCATTTCATTTTTGGTTGTATAATGTATGTATTATTTCTTTCTATTTATTTGTATGGGAAAAGATTCTTCCATATATATGTGTATATATATCTTCGCTTCCGTTATTCTTTCAGGAACTCAGATATCAATGATACAAATGCTAATGACTCTGACCCGGAGATTGATTTCGAGATGCCCATGTGTCAAGGAGAAATCGAAGGTTGTGATGACGATGAGTGATGTGAACTACCTTCGGAATTACTGAAGAGGGTGGAATAAGAAGATAAACAGATTTTGCCTCACGAAGAGCTTACAGAGATCTAGAATTTGGGTACGGATGAGGATAAAAGAAGTAAAGATTGGTACCACCCTGTGTGCAGAATGAAGGCAGAGCTTGATAGAATTACTTCCAGAATTCAAGGATGTATTTGCTTAGTCGTACACGGATATGCCATTTCTGGGCACAAAATTGGTGGTCCATAAACTACGATAAAGCCTGATTGCAAGCCTATACAACGGACGCTGAGAAGAATGAGACCAGAGATGCTGCTTAAAATAAAAGAAGAAGTGAAGAAACAATTTGATGTCGGGTTTCTCACAGTGGCCAAATATCCTGAGTGGGTGCCGAATATTGTCCTAGTGCCAAAGAGGGATGAGAAAGTTTGAATGTGTGTCGACTACAGAGATCTCTACAGAGCAAGTCCAAAGGATAATTTTCCTTTGCCACATATAGACACTTTAGTGGATGATACTGCTGGAAATTCTTTTTTATCATTTATGGATGGTTTCTCTAGCCACAATCAAATTAAAGTGCACTCTGAAGATATGAACGACGCTTGTCACTAATGGGAATACTTGCATTTTCTGAAAGATTAGCCAGTTGGAAAATCCTGTTGTCCGAATTTGATATCCAGTATGTAAGCCAGAAAGCGGTTGGAGGGAGCGCCATAGTAGAATTCATTGCAAGTAGGGCTTCCGAAGAATATGAACCGTTGAATTTTGATTTCCCGACTGATGATTTAATGGCTATCTTGGTGGAAGAAACAATTGCATCCACCGGGAGATACTAGAAGATGGACTTTGATGGCTTCAAACGCCTTGGGGCATGGGATTACAACAATCTTGGTCTCACTATATGAAGAGCATTATCATTTTACCAGTCGGCTCAATTTTGATTGTACAAACAATATGGCCGAGTATTAAGCTTGTGTCATGGGCCTTAGAGCTGCCATTGAACTCAAGGTAAAAATACCCAAGGTATATGGCGATTCAGCTCTCGTAATCTACCAACTCAGAGGAGAATGGGAAACGAAAGTCCCAAACCATGGAATATCGTAAATTAGTCTTGGAACTTATTGAAGAATTTGAAGAAATGACTTTCAATTACCTCCCCAGAGAAGAAAATCAAATGACAGATGCTTTGGCTACTCTGACAGCAGCCTTTAAGATGAATGTGCATGCAAATATGATACCTATTGAGATGAAGGCTTATGATTATCCAGCCCCACTGCTTTAACGTTGAAGAAAAGGAAGATGGGAGACTCAATACTATGATATCTTACAATATATAAGGTATCAAAGTTATCCCAAACAGGCGACCGAGAATGACAAAAGAGCCATTAGAAGAATGACAGCAGGGTATGTGTTCAATGTTGAGACCCCGAAGAAGCATGGATCAGATCCTATTAAGGTGTGTGGACTCTAAAGAAGCTAAGATCATTCTTGAAGAAATTCATGAAGGAGTATGTGGTACCCACGCTAATGAATTTATGGAGATAGAATGCACACCCCTCCTCATCAGTTGCATATAATGACAATTCTGTGGTCGTTGGCTATGTGGGGCATGGATGATGGACTCTGACAATGCCTTGAACTTAAACAACAAGATGATGGACTATGTCTGTGAGCAATTCAAGATAAAGCATCATAATTCCACTATCTATCGCCTAAAGATGATTGGACAGTGGAGGCGGCTAATATGAACATTAAGAGGCTTATAGAGAAGATGACTGAAACTTATAAAGATTGGCATGAGAAGTTGCCAATTGCTCTGTTTTCCTATCGGACTTCTGTACGGACGTCAACTGGGGCAACTGCGTTTTTTCTCTAGTTTATGGGATGGAAGCTGTCCTCCCTATTTGAAGTGGAAACTCCCTCACTTCGGGTTTTGTCAGAAGTGAAGCTAAATGAGGCAGAGTGGGTACAGGCCAGATATGACCAATTGGATTTGATTGAAGAAAAGAGATTGAAAGCTATTTGCCATGGTCAGATGTACCAGAAGCGGATGATACGAGCACATGGTAAGAAAGTTCGCCCTCAAGAAGTCCACGAAAGGGATCTGATGCTCAGGAGGATATTGCTCGTTCCAAAAGATTTCCGAGGGAATTGGATGCCCAAGTGGAAAATACCCTATGTTGTCAAGAAAACCTTTTTGGGGAGCTCTAGTCTTGATTGAGATGGATGAGTTCAAATTACCTTATTCAGTGAACTCCGAACGCAGTTAAGAAGGGTTTTGCTTGAAGATGAAAAAAAGAAAAAAAAAATGAAAAATGAAAAAATATAAAAAATGAAAAAAATGAAAAAAATAAATGAAAAAATAAATGAAAAAATAAATGAAAAAAATGAAAAAATAAATAAAACAAAAACAAATAAAAGGGGGGTTCAAGATGCAAACTTGAAAAAGATATCTTGAAACCAAAGGAGGTCAAGTTGAAAACCCGTAGTGGGCGGCTTAAGTTTTAAATTCAGAATTCATGCACGGTGGAGGTTCTGAATTATTTTTGGAAGAGGAAAGAGCTTATGACGTGAGTAGTAACTACGACAGTTGGTGATCAGGATTGAGACTAAAGATTAATGAGTCTCTATGAAAGCAACCAAAGGAGAAATTGAATGCACATGAGATTCAATACTAGTTTACGGCATCTAATAATGGGAGATTTTGGGGTTCAAAAGTAGCTTTGCACTCTTAGGTGTCATCACAATTTTGGAGTTCCTTTTGATCGAAGCTACGCTCGGGTTATTCTAATGGCGTGCCAGTTCAAAGGCATTTGTGTTATTGATATTTGAATACGCCTATCCTTTTGTTCTTTTTCCAGTTAAAAGTTTTCCATATAGTTGCTAAAAATTCTTTGCATTTATAAATAAAGTAATATTTTTCCTTTTCAATTCCCCTTTACAAGCATTTGATTTTGAAAAAGTTAAAACATATAGCTTAGCTTGTGGTACTTGAGATCATTTTGTATTGTTATGCAAAAGATGTTGAAAAGACAGGTATTCTGAAGCTAACATTGGTTTTAGCATGTATGTTTGTATGGTTATGGGAAGCAGAAACCTTGGGATTCATAGAAAATTCTAGCCATTAATAGTTGGCCCAAAGAGAATGTCATTCATCAAGAAGTTGGTCATGGGTAATGGCAGGCTTCAAGAATGAGAGAAGTCAAAGTTATGTCAAGCCGAGAGATATGATTTTGAGATTGTTAACTGGGGTGAACAGGTCAAATGTTCGGTGCCCAAGATGAAATCGAGGTCCATCAAAATCAAAGGAGACGATGTTCCTTCGAAGAAGAAAATGTGTTGAATTGAATAATTGCATACATTTTAGGCATGAATAGGATCATGACATTGCATGATGACTTAAATGTCTACAGGTTTCCCCATGATAGTGGAGGATTGAATATATTGAAGCATCAAGATGAGGATGACTAGTTTTGAAATCCTAAAAAGAATGATGACAACAATTGAGCCAAAGTAGATTCACATATCTAAGGGCTTCCAGACAAGTTTTCACGATGAAGATGAATTTTCAGAAAATTTCTCGAACTCAAAATTTTTGAGTTGGATATTTTCGAGCATACATTAATGATTGATAATGTTTGATTTTCAGGTTCAACCTTCGAAGCGAATCAAACTCAAGCCTTCACAAAAGAGTAGTGAAGTAAATCATCTATAAGCCTTCACAAGGAGGTAGTGAAGCAACATAAGATTGTTCGAGTTCTACTCCCTGAAGAAAATAGGGCGGACCCGTAGGAAGATTATTGTTCGAGTTCTACTCCCTGAAGAAATAGGGTGGACCCGTAAGAAGATTATTGTTCGAGTTCTTACTCCCTGAAGAAATAGAGAGCGATCCCGTAGGAAGATTATTGTTCGAGTTTTACTCCCTGAAGAAAAAGAGAGCGGGCCCGTAGGAAGATTATTGTTCGAGTTCTTACTCCCTGAAGAAAAAGAGAGCGGACCCGTAGGAAGATTATTGTTCAAGTTCTACTCCCTGAAGAAATAGAGAGCGGACCCGTAGGAAGATTATTGTTCGAGTTCTTACTCCCTGAAGAAAAAGAGAATG